TACAGTTGAAAGAAATCGGTTCAGGGAGTGAGCGGTTTGGTTCAGTTGATTTCAGGAATTCTTTCTGCTTTTCCTCCATTTTTGCACACTGCTCTCGATCCAAACCTGTTCTAAGCGCATTTGTCAAGAACATTGTTAGTGAGCAGTATAAAAAGAACAGCATCACTTCAGTGAGCAAATGGTTTCGATCAGATCCCTTAAAGAAGCGGTTTTGCTCATCTCTGCAACAGGTGAGAATACGTGGGAGTGGAAATTCATGGCCACTCATTGTGCATGTGCATAGCATGATCAAAATTACCATGATTGCTGCCAAATTTATCATTCTGCTGTGCTGAACCGTAACTCCATTTATCAAATTACAAAATTATTGTGTTTTGAAGAGTATACCTTGATCTATCAAATAAAACATAAACCATTTTTCTATGTAGTTGTGGAAATCAAAGCATTTCCAGAGCCCGCAGAATGTTCATAATTTTTCCTTTGTACGGACAACCATGAAGGAATGTAGGTCCATATTAAAATATTACAAGTTACTCTGGTGGGCTGGAAATAATCATTTGTAAATTAAAAGATTTACGGTAGTTGTAACAGTTTCTACAAACTCAGACAGGTTTCCATATCTTAATACCTCAGATTTCTTTCATAACATGTGGAAGGGAAAAATGTAATCTAATGCACCACATATAATTCAGATGACTGAAAAAGCATATAAGAGCAAATGACCCATCAACCATATCTGAGATATTTGTAGACATGGAGCATTGAGTTGGCAGCTATAACCAAGAAAGAGGCAGACACTTTCAATATTAGTTATGACATAATACATTGGTCAATTCTTTAGGCTCATATTATTATAGTCACATTGTTTATCTTGAACAGTCTGTACGTAATAAATGATAACTTAGGATCTTAAGCAAGAGCAACAATCTTTATAATCTATACTTATATAAGGTAAATTAAGATATAATTCAGGTACTTAAAGGTACAACTGAGCAAGACTACGAGTTTCAAGAAATGATCTGATGCAAATGACCCATCTTTAAGAAGCAGTACTATAAAGCAGCTCTCAACCAAAGTATAAAAAAAGAAAAAAAAAATATATATTTTAAAACTGGACACAAGCATAAGGTTAATTTGGTATGTAACTCAATATGCAGACTGAAAGCTTAAGAAGTATTTTGTGTACAAGTATAATTGTAAGAACATAAAACAAAAAGTAATACACTGTATGTAATTTCAAAATGAAATGTGAATGGAAAATTTCTGAACAAATTCACTGCTGCTAGAATAGATGTAATGAATTATGCAATGCAATAATTTAAACAATTATTTTTTAGGCATAAATGAAAGCAAAGATAAATTTCAAATAATTATTATACAACAAATAAGTAATAAAGAATATTTCTCCCCACAAATGAAAAGTGCAAGATGTATATCAGCTTCGTAAATGGTTCAATACTATGTAGGTATGCAATAAATTAAATAAAATATTATATCTATTTCAGTGAAAAGAACATCTTTTTGTTAAATTAAGTAAAAATTTGAATGGTTATGATTTATCAAAACACAACAAGCATAAGGTTAATAGCATAAGCATGTATAAAAGTAAAAATCCAAAATTCAGTCTGTATTTACAAACAAAAGCACTTAAAGGAAACATGCTATATTTATATACCTACTTTCAACAATATATTAATACAATGAAGTCTGCTTAAAAAAGATATATATATCGAGAGATACAATTATATTCCTTAAATCTTAATAAAAACTAAAAAAGGGAGTAGTAGAAAATTAATTATAAGGATTATAATAATATTCATACTTAGTGAAAAAATTAACACGTCGCATTGAAAACAAATGTTGGCAATTTGAACAAAAACTTTTATCCTCGGGCAATCTTGCACAGAAGCAAATTGTAAATGTAATTGTACATGTAGTGTCATATTTATAATTTAGGAATTACAATGTATGTATTTTTTAAATTAAGAAACTTTACAGTTAACTTTTTTTTGTCACTTATATTTCTGCCAACATTAGAAAATTGCAGCAGTTCAGAGCAGTATATAATGAAGATCCAAGCAATTTCAATATGTATAATTGATAAAAGAATCTAAAAATTAATTGAAATTTTTACAGCTTAAATTCAAAACATTTCTGTCTTAAATAATACCAACAGATATCTGGAAGCAGTTACAAAATTTATAGATTTGGTTATAAACCAATGATCTCAGCTTTCATTTTTGATCTAAACAGTTTTACTCATGTGATTTATAAATTTCATTACACAGAACAATGCTTTACAAGTTAAAGAGCAAATGGTATAATGGAATTTAAAATTTATCTTATAAATATGGAAGAATGCTTAAAACAATTCCTAAAGCAAAAAAAAAAAAAAAAAATTAATCAAATGAATTTCAAAAAGAATTTAATGAATTAAAAAAAATGACATCCCCTTTTTTTCCTCAATTTTAAGCACTGGATTTTATTAAAAAGTTCTTTTCAATAATTTGACTTTTATATATTGCTGAAAAATTACTTCCTCAGTTACTTCCGAATATTTTTAATTCACTTTTAAAATTTTAGTCTATAATTAATAACTCATCAAAGTCCGAGGCAGAATATGCCAAATTTTCTATAATTCTGCTTTTGCATATCTGATATCATATATCTGTTTTGGCATTTCATAGGCAATTTAGCATAACATCTACGAAAGTCACTTTTTAGATACATGTAGGTTTTTACAGTTATAGTTATGAAATTTTAGGAAAGTTCAAAGCAGCGTCCTCCAGCATCAGTGCACTTCTGTAGACAAATTTTTCAAACATCAAGTGCCTCCAACCATTCACTTCTTGGAATCGATGAAAAAAATGCATTTATACCCTCACTGATCCCATCTTCGGAATGAAAACAACATCTATGTAAGTTCTCTTTTAGATTAAAAAAATGCCAAAAGAAACACTTAGCTAGGTTGGATGAATAGGATGGATGTTTTATCACTTTGATGTGTTTTCGTTCAACAAACTCAACTGTCAATCTTGCTGAATGAGACGATGGATTGTCATGGTGGAGCATGAGCCCTCTAATGTTCAGTGCTTGAAGAAATTCTGGAAGACACTTAGTGGTATACAAGTTAGCTGTGACTGTCTTCTATTAATGGCTTTAACCAGTCCTGTACTTCTAAAAGAAATGGCATACATTACTTTTTCCTGTCTTTTCACCACTGTGTGCATGGGATCATCTTCAAAGACCCATAATTTACTCTTGATGTGTTGGAATGCCAAAAAATGATGCACATTTCATCATCTGTTATGATTTTAGAAATAATGTGGTGGCCACAATTTTTTCTGTAATTTAAGGGTTTCTTTAGTGATTCTGACATGTTCCTCTTTTTGGTGCTTAATTAGATTATGGGGAATCAAATGGCAAACTAGATTTTTCATATGCAATTTTTCATGAATAATTTTATATATGATAGATCCAATATTAAGTTCCTTCTTTATCATTTGGTAAGTGTGGCAATTATCATCTGTTGACATTTTTTGTTGTGGCAGACACATTACCCGGAATTACTGTTGACAATGGCCTTCCTGTGTGTTCTTCATCCTGAAGAGAGTTGAGAGCTTTGTGAAATTCTGTAAACCATCTGAATACAATACAGTAGCCTGAGATGGATCTTCAGTTCCAAATGCTAACTGTAGACACTGAACTCATTCTTCTTGATTTAATCCCACTTTATAATCATAGAAAATCATAGCGATAATATTCTCGCATGAACTCCATTTTCCCTTCAGCCTAAAATTTATTCTTCGCTAAACTACTTGCAATTGACCAATAAATACACATCTCCTAGGCTAAAATAATTCATACTTTCAAATTTAACTGTTGATGTTATCCTGCCACTTATTGTCTGCACATATGTCACAAATTACTGAGTGACTTCCATAATCCTGAGTTTAATATGTATTTGAAGTAGTAGGAATCATAACACTGATATATACATGCATTTCAATACAATAAAATGTCCACATACAATATAAGAAATGCCCACATGCAAGTAATGTAACAACACATAGCAGTATATTTACAAATTTTAGGTTCATTAGTGAAAGTCACGCTTCTAAGATATTCCAAATGTATTATGATATACCATATTTAGATTTTTATTAATATTGAAAAACTATGTATGTATCTGCAGCAACTTATAACATGACAGTAAAAAAGAAACAGTTGCTTATTACTGTTATAATGAATATTATGCTATAATAAATAGAGTTACAATGTTTTGAAGGAAAAAATATAACTTCCAAATACAGTAGAATTACAGTTATCCAGATTATTTATCTTCACAGGCCAAGCAAAATTAACTTGTTACTTATGTAGTCGTGGCTTTAATTTTTATATTTATACAATATAAAAGGTTAATACAGTACAATGCATGCATTTCTCAGAAACTATTATATAATTTTGCATGACATGAAGACTGGCCTATAATATTCATAAACATGTAGCCTGTAAACTTTAATAACAGAATACTTATGCAATGTATATAGGTTTAGAGTCATCATTAGTGCTTATTGATGACAATTTAGTACAATAAAAACAAACTTCATTTCATTGCTTTATTTTAGTTGACATAATATGTTTTGTATGTTCAGGCAAATAAAAAATAATTTCATTGATTTATTTTGATTAAAAATGTGTGTTTTGTAATTTGTTTTATGGAATAAAAAAGCTGTACTTCCTTAATTGAACAATCATATCCAAAATAAAATACAATAATTGAGAAATAAAATTCATCCATTACATTTTGGTTAATATGTACTTGGTTCACAGTACCGCCATAATCCAGATTTTTTTAATACATGAATGGACACGGTCCTAACTATTTCAGATACTTGCAGGTATTAAAAATAATAAAGTGTATTATCTCAGGGCTTAATTTTTAATAGTACAATTATAAACTGTAGAGAAAGTATCGAATATTAAAAAAATAAACTCACATTTTTTTTACATGTTCCGCTTCGGAATTATGTCCATTCGATATGAAGGGTGGATTTAATCCCGTTTCTGAGAACCTCCGAAATGGCGCATTACCAGCCATACTAGACTGAGATGGAAGAGAAAGCCTTGAATTACCTTCATCTTCATCCAAAAGTAGATCATTCACATTTTTCTGCAATTATTAAATATTAAATTGTCAATAATAAAACATAATAAATTTATTTTCAATATATTAATTTTAATAGTGTCACCTTGATTCTGAATAAGGTTTATTAATGATGCAAGTTCAGTTAAATAATACCATTCAGAATTGTTTCAGTCTTATGTAAAACTCAGCAGACTATTACGAAACAAAAAGTTAAGCCATTGAAAAATGAATGGGGGTGAAAAGAGTCTAGCCTATAAATCATATGACTACAGAGTGCACCAAGCTGTCATATTTTCATTAATTTCTTGATAAAGACTGAAGATTTTGAATGTTTATAAAATTTTTTAGTACTTTCTGATTATTTGCATAATAAATTTCAGTAGAGCATAATTTTTGTGTTTTTGACATCCTTGTATTTTTGGCATATGCATACCTCCCATGATTTTTGAATACATGTATATACTGTTTAGGGTTAATTTTTATTTCAATAATTATTTATGTACAATATAAATGGCAACAGTTGTTTTTTCTGAGTGAATGGTAACAGAGATTAATGTTTATAGAACTTTCGTGTAATATGTTTTGATTCTGAGTTATATGGTGTGATGTGATTCAGTGCAAGAATAAAATGTATAAAACTAAAATATATTAATGTAATTAAAATTTATCTAACTAAAAATTTTCAACATAATAGCAGAATCATGGTTAAGATGACTAGTTTACAGTTATTTGTGAAGAATTAATGTGAATTGAAATGTCCTAAAAGAAGTAGAATGGCTGCAAGTGAAAATGAAGCAAGTTTTATTAAAAAACTAAAGCATTTTAGACATGAAACAAAACGCAAACTGAAAAGCTAGATTAACTGCAGAAGAAGCGTGAATTGAAGCAGATGATGTCAAAACAAATTCCATTGCAAGGAAAAACATGTTTTAATTTAAAAAATGTTAGCCGACTTTGATCATTTTTATAGTAAAACAAAATCAACTGAAAAGAGGTGTTTCAGATGTAACAAAGCTAGGCATTTAGCTACTTCACGCAGAAAAGAATTTTCTCAAAACAAACAGTTTTGTAAAATATGTAAGAAAAACAATCATAATGGAAAGGATTGGGTTTTTTTTTTTTTTTTTCTGGAAAAATAAAGGTCAAGCTATTACAGATAATAAACATGTGTGTAATCATTTTTAAGTGTATGTGTGTGTGCGTGATTATGGCAAAGCCTTGAGGGCTATTTGCCTAAGGGGAGGGATGCCTTCGTGGAGGACTTTCTAAGGGAAACTGGCTCGTATACACGTTACACATGGGGAAAACCACGAAAACGCCCATGCAGCCAGCCCGTTTGTGGGACATTTTTAAGTGTAAATGAAGCAAATAACGCTGTTAACAATTTAGTTGGGTGGCTGATTCAAGTTCATTGTCATATATGATAAATAATGAAGAACCGTTAATGGCTTCTAAAAATACTGAAAAAGAAATTTCACTTGTTTACAGTAAGAAAGAAAATAGGTACAGTAGAAACTGATATATGTATTTTGAATGATGTCTTATATGTTCCAGAGCTAAGTAGGAACTTACCATTGTGTGCCGTCACTAACAATGGTGGTTGAAGTTGAATTCTCTGATAATAAAACAGAAATAAAAAAAAATAGGCAGAAAGGTTTTAGAAGTATACAGATGTGAAAATGGTTTGTATATTATTATTCTTGACATGAAATTTAAGAACGCAAGTGCTTTAGCCGAGGGGAATGTATCTGAAACTATATTATGGCACAGAAGACTAGGATATCTTGGTTATAAAAATATGAAGAAACTTGTTCTGTTATCTAATGACATGAAGATTTCTGACGATTGTCTGAAGGATGATTCTGTGAAATACTTGTAAATGTATATATATATATATGCATGTATGTGTGTGTGTGTATATATATATATGTACACACACATTTACTTATATATACGCATACATGAACACATACATTCATACACACATGCATTTCTGAATCCAGTCCCGATAACAGAAAGAGAACGCTTTATAATTTTTCTTGATGACTACATATTTTGCAAAAGTATAATTGTAAATGATAAACATGAAATGTTTAATGCAATAATATTATGTAGCAGAAGCTAAATGATATATTAAAGTATCAAAATTAAGATGTGGCAATGGAGGAGAACATATAAATGAAAATTTAAAAAGTTGGTGCAAAAACATAAAAATTATTTTGGATTATACTATTTCTTTTTCATTGTAATTAAATGGAAAAGCAGAAAGAATATATTAAGCCTAGGAATTGAAATTGCCTAGAAAAAAAAAGAGCCTTACTGAAAAATTCCAAATAGGGGGGGGGAATGTGGGGAGAAGCTCTTTGTACTGCAGCTTATTTGTTAAACCATAGTCCAATAGAACCAGTTAGTACTAACACCAGCAGAAAAATGGAAGAAACAAAAACCTAATTTACCAAAATTGGAAATTTTTGGAAGTAATGCATAAGCATGGTTAAATAAACCAATTCAAAGTTTGATTCACAAAGTGTAAAGCATATATTTGTTGGATATGGAACAAATGGTTATAGGTTGTGAAACAAATGCTAAACAAAATAAAAATATCCAAAGATGTTGTGTTTGATGAAAATATAGATTCAATAAATAGAGAATATAAAAGGTATAGATACAAAAGGAATTTTGTGGCAAGGCAACCAGAATGAAAATTTAGAAATATTTAAGATAAAAGCATATCCACTAGAAAGATGATAATTTATAAGCTGATAATGAAAATGAAGACGGAAATAGGAAAATATGGAACTGAAAATGAAGAATGACCTACAAAAAAGAAATAGAAAATTACTAGTAAAATACTGAGACTTCATAATATTGCCCTAGCAGGAATGAATATCAGGAGATGACAAAAGAAAAATTGTTATAAGGTATTGAAGAAGAGAAGGCCTTTAATTAAAAATAAAACTTGGAAAGTTGTGAATAAAAGTGAAGCAAAAAGTAGAAAATTTAAAGCAGCAAATGGATTTTTAATGTCAAAGGAGATGGATGTTTTAAAGCTGAATTTGTTACAAGACATTTTCAACAAGAAGAAAGGATAAACTTCAAAGAAACCCAGAATACTCTTGTAAGCAACATAGCATTAAGAACACTATTTGCACTAGCAGCTAAGAACAAGCTTGAAATGTTGCAATTTGATATAAAAGCTGCTTTTTTTGTCTGGAGACATAAAAGGAAATATTTACATGAAAGTTACAGAAGTGTTTAATCATAGAAATAAAATATTAAAATTACAGAATTCTCTTTAGAATAAAACAAGCTCCTTTCAATTGAAATAACTGCTCCACAAAATTTGTAAACAGAAAAGGTTTCATTTAAACCTAATGTGATAGATGCGAGTTTAAAACAAATGATTCCTTGATGATTTCAGCAATACTTGTTGATGATGGTATTTTGATTGGAAGGAGACAGAGAATAAATGAAGACATTGTTAGAAGGAATGTCAAATGAATTGAATATCAAAAGTCTATACTTAAAATTACATAAGATTTCAGGGGGTGCATTTCAGATACAAAAGCTGATATATTTCATAGGCCCTAAACAGTTAAACAAATTATCCAATTATGAAACTGCCAAACACGAAAGTTGGAGGAGATGTCATCAAACTTGCACCAGTCATTCCGGCAGAAGTTTAATAGAACAGATTGTTCTTTACCAACAAATACAAATTCTGGATTTAGCATATGAAAGAATATATTCTGGATTTAGCATCTCTTAGCCCAGTTTTTCACCTTGCATCGTCACTGTTTATCCATTTTCATATGAAGTCCCAGATAGTACTTTTTTTTTTTTTTTTAAATTTTTATGCCAGCATTCTGTAACTTAGAAACGACCCTACTGCATATAATGTTCTATGTAAGGCAGGCAACAAATATTAATCATTTTTTCAAAATGTGATTGTAGGATCAAACTCTTTTAGCTATCATGCAAAGATATGATCTTAGTAATTATCCAGGCAACTTCTTGTACAGGCATGAAGAAACAGAACACAGTGAAAGAGTTTAAATTGCCCTTTCATTTGATTAAAGTCTTTAACAAAAATGCACGTACTTTGTGCTCACAATAACACTGACTATTTGCATTAGGAACTTAAGAATAATTTAACAACTTTAAATGGCAAAGAGTAGTGCTGGACTACTTAAAACTAACAGGTTGACTCAGCAACCTACACCGGTGATAGACTTTAATAAACAGCCAGAAGGCATAGGAACAGGCAAGATTACCAGCAGGAAGGACAAAATAGCAACATGAGTTATACTAGTGAAATCATGGTCTATGCAACTTTCTCTTTTCATCTACTTCACTTTAACATAATTTGCATCCTGGCAAGGAAATGAGGAGTTCAGGAGAGATAACAAAAATTAGAAATTAGAATTAATAAAAATTCAAACTAAAGAAAACCACCATACATGATGACCCCCCCCCCAAAAAAAAGACTTGAACTATTTTTTACAAAAATTAAACTAGCTGATCTAGAATTAACTGGGTTTACCCCAAAGCAACGTGAAACTCCTATGCCTGTGTTGTGAAATCATACTTATCCATTTTTGGCTCCAAAGCTATTTAATGATAATATATATGTGCTAATATTATAGCAACCTCTATAATGGGGGTTACAAATCTCCCATTTACCTTTTGGGGGGGGGATATTTTTCTAAAATATTCCAGCTACTTGAGCTTTCTGATTAATTAAATGGCAGATAGTTGGGCTTTTACTGTACTATATTTATTTTCATATTCTGAATTAATATACTATATTTAATACAAAATAAAAATGAAGCATGTAATAATTTCAGTAAAATCCAAAGCATGCATGTTGCAAAACTAACAGTTATAACAATTTAAACATAATGTTATAATATATATACAGCTTGTATCTCACACATTCAGTTACTAAATGTATTAAACTGGCTTTCAAGTTAGGGACAGCATGACATCCTAATTTTTTGATTGATGTAAAATAGGATATTTCT